CAAAATTCTTGGTATAGTTTGATAGCCAGCTCCATAAGCTTTAATTTGATATAGGGGTTTAGGTATCTACAGCTTAAACTGCACGCGCTATATCGCTTGCGCGCGAGACACCCCTGAAGGTATACTGTAATCTTAAAAAGACTTTAATAGGATGCTTACTGTTTAAAAAACTCATTGCTTCAAATAACTCTGACATCCAAGAATAAAGCTCTCAGTGAAGAATCATAAATGGGGTGGAATTCAAAACAACAACGAAAAGTATTTTTTTCAGTTGTCGGGTGGCCCGTTTGCAGACATCTACGAGGGTGTCATCGGTAGACATCCTTTCCTAGTGTCACAAAGGAATTGTAAGACGTCTGCACGCAGGGTAAAGGCTAAAAGGGTGAAAGATGTCGATCACGGGATTGTCCAATTGCAGGTATCCAATTACATTTTGTATTTGATACCTGTCATTGGGTACGCCATTCGCATGTCAATTACGCGTACGTAAAGTGCCACTATGATCAAATTCTCGATACCCAATTTTTCACATTTTCGTACACAATAGGTCTTTCCTAGATATCTTTGCAAATTTCAATCTATTGCGCCAACATTAGAACTCATTTGTTTTGGACCTTTATTTCTGAGAATTTACGGCCGCCATTAAATTTCCTTGTTCCAAGTCTTGGTTGAGATGGAGAAAATGACTTCATTTTCTCAAATTCTCAACCAAGACTTGGAACAAGGAGAATTAATGGCGGCCGTAAATTCTCGGAAATAAAGGTCCCAAAACCGCGAGTTCTAATGTTCTTTACAGACTGAAAATTGCCAAGATATCTAAGAAGGACCTTTTATACGAAAATGTAAAAACATGGATATCGAGAATTTCATCATTGTGGCACTTTAAATGGCTCCCTTCTCGATGACCTCAATGTTTCCTACAGTTTTAAAACTTGTGGAAAGTGCTACGGTGGAACCTAGATTTAACGAACCTCTATATGACGTCCTCGACATGACGAACGATGTTCTTAAAACCAATAATAAGCTAATGACTCTTTGTAAATTATAATGTCTGTTGTAAAATTCATGCTGTGTCACGCAACATACAAACTCCTCAAAGTCTTTTTGACCACCCGGTTGTAATATGTATTACCCGAAACGGGATTCCAGACAGGGATTACTTCTCTTGCTATGACTGATAAACTGAGGCCGCCTCAACCCCAGCCGTGCTCCTTTAACCCACTTTCGACACAAGTTGACGGGATTGCAAAGTCTTGTTTGCGTCCTCTCTTCCTCATAGATAGTTGGGCCCACTTTCACTTTGCACGTGACCGCTACATCTGGCGTGACATAAAATAGAAACATTAAATTCATTTTATAATTATCAAGTTTAGCAATTTCATATCTTTTATCTCTTTTGAACACAAGTAGAGAATTGAAAGGTTTATCATTGACCTTCTTAAAAGGCACTATTAAGGACTATTTAACTGTTAGACCCGTAGCCCGCAAGGGCTACGGGTCAATAGCCCATGAGGCGAAGCCGAATGGGCTATTGACCCGTGGCCCTTGAGGGCGAAGGGTCTAATNCCAATTTCGCTACTCGAGGACTATTACTAATAGTCCTCTAGTAGCGTAGCCAATCAAAATGCAGGATTTGCATTAGTCCACTAGTTGGGTGATAATAATTGATACTATCCTGTTCGTTATTAACTTTATTGTGAATCTGGGGACTGGTACGGGCATTCTAATTTTGCTGAGCAATGTCGGGTATGGGTACCGCACTTCCAACCTTGTGGCACCAGGAGTTGTTTCGCGTTGCATTCGAGGTAAGAACCTTTCTGGATTTCTCTGGAAATCTGCCAGCTCTTCGTTGTACTTTGATGGATTTGCTTCACAAGTCACAACCAGTGGGGCTTTGACCCTAAGTTTAATTAACCCTAGGCTTCTTACTTCCCACAGACCACAGACCACAACAAGCTTTATTCATAATTAGCACTCTGATCGAAAACGTCACGATATAGTTTCGATTACGTCCCTGAACGAGTTTGAATTTCGAATATCTCAAAATTACCACTGAGGTTTTTCGAGTACAGATTCGATCAAGTATTTTTATATGATTAGTTTGTAAACACTGCTACACCCTTACGGGTCATGTGTGCTGAAAATAGCACTTATTACATAATGGAAATCTTTATGTGAAACTGATCGTACAAAAAACGTTTCTATTCATTGTAATCCAATGTTAACTGATTGAAAGGCTAGTTATGAAGACATTTTTCAAGCCAGGTGGGTAAGTGGAGTAAGTGAAGGCACTGTCACAGCTGCATGCGCAGTGTTTTGTTCAACTTGCCGCACAATTTTGTAGCACTGTTGCAAGAAATCTTCCTAGAAACGTTATATGAAGGTAGTTTACAACAACTCTTGATGGCTATGTTCACAGGAGACATTGACTAGCTCTATGTTGATCTGGTTTCGTCTTTGTATCAGTCCTAGTACATGAATGAGGACAGAGTCTTTTTGGAATTGTGTGGAAAGTTGGTTGCAGCATCACCGCAGTGATTGCCAAACGTAGAACTCTTTTCTACTTTGTGCAACTTGTGCTGCAGTAAAAACATTTTTATAGCATGTTTTTTCCAAGGTGCAAATCCTTTTTGATATTCCTAAAACAATGGCACAGGCTCTCCTTTTCACTGGCTTGCTTTGCTTGCTGACTCATTTCTTATGGTGCGCACCTTTCCTGCTAGTCTATGACATATTTCAGTATGTGGTACATTGCCCACCTATCTGTATCAATACACAAAAGTGAGTTTATTTCTACTTGTTTGCTCATGCAAAGGGACCCCGCATCAAGTCAAGGTTGTGTTTACTTTTCTTTCGAGACACCATTTGCAGTACAACCTCACTCATTTAATGGCTGCATCATGGAGACACATACAACTAGAAAGCACATATATGCATGTTTATTCAAATACGATAAGACAAGATGTACATGTAACACTGTCAAAGGCAATAAAAATAAAGCAAGAACGTACTAAAAGGTGACATGACTGCAGTGCTTATAACCTCACGTAAAAGTACCTAGCCATCCAATTAGAGTACATGCTATGACAATGTGAGCACAACGTTATAGCATATGCAATACATGTAAATAGCTGTCCAGAAGTGGGAGTTTTGACAATGTTAATTTTTTTTTGGTTGTTACTGATGTTTAACTGGATGTACATGTAAAATGTTTTATATATTGTGTACAGACAGATGCATACTAGACCATAGGAGATGGATGAGGAAGATTTAGTTGATGTTAAGATTCCACCTCCTGATGATGGCAGTGATAGTGAGAGTGAGAAGGACCATAAAGATTGTTTACTGGAGGAGAAGAGAAGAGACAGTGATCCAGGAATTAAGCCTTCACCTATGCCTGGGGTCAATCTTCTCTCTAGATTTGTAACATTTTGGTAAGTAGTTACCCATGGTGAAAGTTAAGGTACTTGGAATTCGTAGTTGTGGTGAGAATGTGTCTTTCAAACTAGTTGTATCTTGTACATGTTAAGCATCTGAAATTACTGAAGGAACTACAGTCAGTTCTCTTGAAGCAGACATTGCTGTAGGATGGACCCCTCCTTAAGGTGGACATAGCTGTCCTGCAGGTCCAGATTGCATTTTATTTGTTTCTCAGTAGATGAACTCTCTTTAAGGTGGACACTTCTCTTAAAAGAGGTCAAAGGGTGTCTGCCTTAGGGAAAGTTCATTGCACAAGTATGTGTACATGCAATGATGTATGCACACTACGCTCACAATAAAGAGATCTATTCTCATCTGGTTTTGAAACTTCTAAAGAAAACTAGTACCCTGACTCATATATAGAACAAGTAACGTATTTTACAAGGCATTTTGATGGGAGTTTATCTTATGGGTGTAGAAATACTCAAGAGCTGAGTGTTTTAATATTTATTATTGCCATATTTCATCAGGTGGTTAAACCCTCTCTTATCTCTTGGAAGTAAAAGACCCCTTGAAGCAGAAGATTTTTATGGGCTTAGATCACATGATTCAACTGCAGTAGTTGGAGATCAACTTCAAAGGTATAGATCTGTGTATTTTGATATATCTTTTTCAAACAGTGGTCAATTACCCGTGAACAAAAATTAGTTTGGCTACATCTGTGTGCCACACCAAAGAGTGTGATTTCACAGAATTATTCTGGAATTGAGTATTGATAAATTGTTATAAATTCCCTCATTGGTCTGAAATAAGGTTCCATTTTTTATGACTTCTGGAACTCTCAGGGAAAAAGAAAAATAGTCGTAGGTTCACAATCAGTTAAGGTGGCTCCATAGGGTAATCATTTATGGTGTTGGGTGCGCAAGTGCTATGTTTTGAATGCTGTTTTTGCATTTGCTTTCACACCCAGTCCTTTCAAACTTATTACGTGTAATAGGGAATGATTAAATAGTGTTTTCCTATCATCTCTGTTAAAATTTTGGGGTTTAGTCTTGAATTATAAATGCCCAAACAAATGTGTTTTTACTGTTTGTGTGGCTTTATTTGTGATTTTCTTGAATTTTCTTTGGTGAAATCTTCCAAAATTTTTACAACACATTGCTTCCAGCGGGATACGAATTTTAAAAACGAAAAAAGCTGGGCTTGTAAAGGCAGTTTTTGTGATTTTTTCGAATTTATGTCTTTTGCTGCTGCAAAAGATCTGGTCTTATAGATATCCCTGAAAAACGAGCTCCGACTGAAGTAAAATATTTACTACCAATCTGCCAAATTTTACGGAATGTCACTGAAGGAAAAGTAGGAAAATTCATTGTCAGTTTTGCTTTTAGTGCTCATGTTGACATCAGAAAATATCCAAAAACACTGACGTTGTCCTTCGAGTGCGTGCAAATTACTTGAGCTTTCGTTCTCAGTGTGCATGTGATTGTAAAACTATAGGGAGCCACCTTAAGCATTAAATAGAAACCTGTGAACAAGTAAGTAAGCGAGCTTGAGGGCTGTACTGGGGAATATTGGTCCAAGTCCTGGCAGTACAGACCAAGCATAGCAAGGTTGGTATAAAAATGACTGAGGGCCAATGTTCCCTAGCACGGCTTGAGCAAAAGAGGTTAGTAAGCAGTTTATCATGTGGAACTCAGGCCATGCTTTTCAAAACAAAAATATGTATGGCTCTTGACTGTTTCCATTTAAGACTACCTTGCCATATGATATTAGTTGATATGAAAGTACTTTGAGATCAGAAGGGAACACTGGTTAAGAAAACTTTGAACTAAAAAAAAAGCAGTTAATTTTAGGCCAAGGCAAAGAAAAATTAGTTTGAAATTTAGAATTTGAAATAACTGAGTTTGAAATAACAGCAGTAAATGACTAACAAATACAAGCAAATCCAAGGGAAATGGGGGTGTAAGTGCGAAATAATAGTGAGTTCAAAGTAGAAGAGGCATGAATGATTTGGTAGGGTACAATTTTACAGGGATTAAACTTTTATTAATTTTCTGAAAACAAGATGAAAATCCATAGAAAATAACATACTGTATTTACAGAAGTACTGCAAAATATAGAATAAGTTGGTTTGGTACAGTGTTACTTAGTTCCCTTGCCTTCACTGGTTATTAGTCAGTCTTGTATAAAAAGGAGGTCTCTTAAAGCTAATTTCCGCATACCCATTAAGTTGAAAAAGTAATGTGTTGTTATCACTATTTTTTGTCTACTATATTTCAAGGGAGTGGGAGAAGGAAAAATACAATGCAGACGAAAAAGGAAGAACTCCAAGCCTTCTGCGAGCTGTTATCAGGGCATTTGGAAAAGGCTATATAGCTCTTGGTATTTTGGCAATAATCACTGTGAGTTCAGTTTGCAATGTCTGCGGTGATGTATTTGAACCATCAAAAAATAACAAATACATCAACAAGTAAATCTTATTTTCAAGTGAATCTTTGAATTGTAAAGTAAAACCCTCTTCTATTTTGACTATTACATTATCATCACATGGCATCTTTTATATGTAGTAAACTGGATGAGACATCAGATTTGTAGCCTTTAAAAATTATTATAGAAAAGTTTAAGTAGTCCTTAACAGAGCATACAATAATGGAGACCATGTTGAGTTTATTGGACCCTCGCGATTGGATCTCACAAGATCCTTCAATTTAAGATCTGTTTAAGATCGTATGGTAACAGGTATATCACAACTGTGAGGATCTTGGAGAATTCATCTCAGCAAGTATTTGTAAGGATTAATTATTGCTAATATATAAAGATGTTTTATTTCAAATCAAGGATCGTCAAAATCACTTTAAGGATCCTTGAAAGGTCCTTTCCTCAATGATCTTTGGTTAGCTGTTGAGGGAGTCAAAAGATCCTTTACATGTAGATGCTATAAGGTTATGCATAAATATCTTATGTGTTAAGTATCTGATGCATCTTTAAATTGATCTAGGACACATTAAGGATAGTTCAGCCCATCTTCCTTGGCTTCCTTATAACCTATTTCAACCAAAAAACCACTACAACACAGACACAAGCCTTCCTGTATGCATTGGGAGTTTGTGTATGCAGCATCTTGTCCAGTTTTTTGATGACACCATTCACATTCCTACGACAGTGCTATGGCATGAGAGTAAGGATTGCCTGCACATCTCTTGTGTACAACAAGGTAAGTGAAGCATTTTTAAGGGTTTTTTGTGGATATACAAGTGTAACACATCTATTATAGAAGATCAAGACCTATTTTATGTAATCATTGTGAAGAAATGACTAGAAAATTTGTCACACACAAGAAGTTGTGTATTTTGTTAACTGTGTTATGGAAACATAAATATTGATAGTTCAGTAACAGTTAATATATTCTATTTATCATATATTGAACAACCACTTCCGGGTGTGTCAACACGAACCTTGAATGACCCTCTTCATTATGTCCTTTCAATCAAAATTACATAATAATGACTTTGAGAGAATATACCGGCCTGCACAAAATAACGAAAACTGAAAATATATACTGAATAATAACTTTACTGAATAAAGTTTACAATAATGCCAGACGCCAGTACTTGAAAATTTTAGTCGGCCTTAAAGTCATTGGATATTTGAATTTTTTGGCGGAAAAGTGGCCATATGACTTGAATGAATACAAATGAAGACAACCTGATATATACCAATGCCCCGTTAATGAAGCATTGTGACAACATGTCACAATGACATAACACCCCAGGGGCGAGGTTACACAACCCATGATAAATACATTTACTTTGAGTTTGCCATTTAAATTTGATTGTGTTCACAAGGTACATCGAAACATATGATTGCAAGCTATCATAGTGATTGTCACAGTATGTCCAGCGTGACACATCATATACGGGCATGCGCGCCCCATGCATCATGTAATCTCTTGTCAGGCCAAGCACATGGCGATTAAAATAAGACTTTAAGCAAAT